AAAAAAAAAAAAAAAAAAAAGAACTGAGGCTCTGAAAGGGAGGCCTCGTCCCGGAGGCCCTGGCAGGTCAGGTCACTGCACAGCGCAGCGCCCGGCACATGGGGGGCAGGAAAGGCGGAGCTGACCTGGATGTGACTGTGGCTTTGGCCTGGCTTCGCAGGGTCTTCCTCCGCGGGGGGCTCACAGGCACAGATCCGAGCTCCTCCCGCAGAATCTCTTCTGTGGACGACTCGGGGCGGGCCGACTGCGACCGCGATGGGGTTTCTCCTAGCGTTAAGCTTGGCTTTTGGCCTCGCTCGGGGTGAGGTCCGGGCTTCACCTTGAGCCGACTAAACTCTGCCTCCTCCTTGAGGACGGGGTACTCTATGGTGAACAGACCTGTCAACAGAAGACACCACTGCACTTCCCCTGCTGGCCAGGCCGCTCCGCCCCTGCTCGGGGGCTTTGGCCACTCCCCCCCCCTCTTCTCCCGGCACAGTGTTCATGTCGTCACACCGTTAGTGACCATGACACACTGTCTCAACGTGAGAGCACGTCAGTCTCCTTTCTATTTTTTAATTTTTTTGAGAGTTTTTTGCTATAGGGCATGTGCCCTCAACAGAGACACAGAGAGAGACAGAGAGAGACAGAAAGAGAGAAATCAGCCCCCAGGGGGGATGGCCACACCGCAATCCCTTCTCCTCCTCCTCCATTCTCCTCTGGGGATCTTGGGCACGCACGCACACGCGCCCGGCATGAGTTTAAGCTGCCGGGTCCGGGACTCAAACTGCGGTTGACTACATGGGAGTCCAGCAACAAAGCCATGACGCTAACTGCTGGTCCCCGGATCAGTCTCCTTTCTACCCAACCTCTAAGACCTGACTTCAATGTCACCTTCCCAGGGGGCCCATGTCCTGTTCAGAAGCACCCAACCAGAGGTAGGTATACCGGGCACTTCTCCTCCTGGGGGGCAACGCTCCCCATGTCTCCAGATGTAAGTCAATGCCACCTACTTTTTAAAAACTGATAGACAGCTTGGGGCCAGCAGGTGGCGTGGTGGTGAAGGCATTGGACTCCCACATGGCAAATCGTGGTTTGAGTCCTGGACCAGTGGCTTGAAAAGTCACACTGGGCGCATGTGAGAATGGAGGAGAAGGGATTGTGGCGTGACCATTCTCCCTTGGCGGGGTGATTTCTCGCTTTCTCTCTCTCTTTCAGGTGAGTGCAAAACCTAAAAAAATAAGTAAATAAAATAAAAGATTATAGACAGCGTGTGTACAAGAGGGAGAAAGAGAAGCACCCGGCAGGGTCGCTTGGTTTCAAGCTGACCTGGAGATCTGACCCCTCATGTGGCTGCGGGCTCCTGCCGGGCATGCCCCTCTGTTTTGGCCATGCCATAGCAGGAGCTCCCTCTGCTTGCTTTGTTGCATAATTTATGGAAAAAATGTAATTGAAGCACTAGTTTACGTTGGTGCAAAAAAGGGTTGAAATCCATAGGACCAGCAGTTGGCGTAATGGCTATGTCGCTGGACTCCCATGTAGTTGACCACGGTTCGAGTCCCGGACCCGGTGGCTTAAACTCATGCCAAGCACATGTGCGTGTGTATCCAAGATCCCAAGAGGAGAATGGAGGAGAAGGGATTGTGGCGTAGCTATCCCCCCTGGGGGGTGATTTCTCGCTTTCTATCTCTCTGTGTCTCTCTCTCTGTCTTTCTGGTGAAACACATGTGCCCTTATGCAAAAACCTCTCCAAAAAAAAAAAAAAATCCATGCACAGCTTTTTCATATATGTATTTTGCATGCACTTTCGGATCGTTTTTGTATTTCTATTTATGTTCTTGCTTTCCCTTCTAGATTGGCCCCTCCTGAGGCCAGGAGCCTCTCTCATTCTTTCATTTGCCAGACCTCAGTGGAGCGCGGTGCGGGGCACACAGAGCCAAACCAGGACAGGGTGCCTGGCCTCTGGGAACTCTCGCCGTGGGTGCGGAGTGGGGCTGGGGCTCAGGTAAAGAAATGATCCCAGGCTGGGTGGGAAGATTTACAGCTGGAGCAGGGACCCGGCAGGTGAGCCCAGAGGAGGGCAACAACTGAACTACGTCTCTAGGGACAAGGAGCGACTCCCAGAGAGGTCACAGCAGAGCCACAGGGGCGTCAGGGAGGAGGTGCCAGGCTTCCTGTATGCCCAGGCCCACCAGCGTGAAGACAGTCCAGATGTGGGAGGGTGGACCCATGCTGGCCCAGGGGAGCTCTGCGGGCCCTGACAGGGACAGTTGGGGAGGTGACTGCTCTGTGTCCTGGGGGTTCTCCAGGAAGTAAGAAATCACCCCGGGGGAATGGCCGCACCGTAATCCCTTCTCCATTCTCCTCTCAGGATTCTGGGCACGCACACGCACATGCCCGGCATGAGTTTCAAGCTTCTGGGCCCGGGACTTGAACCACTTGCCAGTACAAGGAGAGGAAAGCAAGGGCTGCCAAGGGATGGCAATGACACGGGAGACGGAGCTGAAAGGTGAAGCAGGTGTGGGGGGCTGAGAGACACCCGGAAAACAAGACAATCCTGTGGGGAAGTTGGAGGCACGCAAGAGGGGAGCCCAGAGAGTACGGCCGGCCTAGCCGTGTGGCTGGGCAGTCCCTTCGGCCATCTGAGCCCAGGGGCCCCGTGTAAAGTGGAAGCTCCGCCGCGGCCTGCCTGCTGGGAGCTCGGACTCCAGTGGGGCGGGTGGCAGGGAGCTGTCCTGGGGACTTGCACGCGCTCCAGGCTGTGGCCGCCCAGACACGGGCCGTCACCTCCCCCAGAGCCCCTTACCTGCGGCCAGCAGGACAGAGTTCATGAACTGCGACACGGTCTTCTGGAAGCGCTTCTTGATGTCCGCCAGCGCACGGGTCATCTTGGACACCTTGTCGTCCATGCTGCTGATTCTGTGGGACAGCTGCAGAGGCGAGGGGCAGGGCGCTGCCACTGGGCCCCCGGGAGCCCTGCGCCTAGCCCAGAGATGGCAGGGCCTGCCCTGGCCTGGAACGGCCTCCTCATTCCCACCGTGCACTCCTTACAGGCCCAGACCTCACACAGAGCCTCCCCCGGGGAGGGCTTCCTGCTCCTCCTCTGTCAGAGGCAGAACCGCCCCTGGCTTCGGACCCGGCTGGGTCGGAGCTGCCTCCGCACTAGACTCAGCTGCAGAGGGCAGGGCACGAGTCTCAGCTCCTCCGGGCCCGGGGGCCTGCATGCAGAAGGCGCTCGATAAATGCCACCGCACGGCTCGGTGGACAGAGGCCTCCCCAGAGCGCTCGCGGCCGCCTCCCTCTGGAGGCGTGTGGCACTGCACCGCAGCCTCCGTTACCCCACCAGCTGCCAGCGCTCAGTGACCACAGCTCCCAGCTGAGACCTGCCACTGCCCAAGGCCACAGCGATTGGTCGGTGGCTGTGGGCAACAGAACTGGGGCCTCCTGCCTCAATCGGGACTGCTCTGACGGCCCATTCCGGTTCTGGGGCTCTCGCAGTCCAGCACCTCCCTCCACCCAGGTCGGCTTCCCTCCAGCCCTCAAAGAGGCTGCTCCCAAGAGCCGTCCCAGAAGCCCCATGCGGATCTCCACGCAGAGTCTGTTTCCCAGGGGGCCCGACCTAAGACCTGCTCCTAACAGGCAGGGCGTCTCAGCAGTTCTGCATCCCCAGAGCCCATGGCAGTCAGGCCTGCCTTCTCCAGGAAGTCTTCTGTGCTTTTTCCAGCTGACAGCAACCATTTGGTGCTGAGCTTCCTCATCTGCCCATTCCTGGCCTTTCTGCCCTGGGTCCTGGTCCTTTTCCCCTTCCTCTGTCACTAAGCTCGCTCAGCTTCTAGGGCTTGCTCTAGCGTCCCCTTAACA